TTCCCGGTGGGCCGTTGGCACCTGGGGCCGGGCAGACACCTGGGTCTGCTGTCGGCCGCTGGGGATGTCTTCTGGCGGCCGCTGGCGGACTTGTCCTAGCGGCCGCTGGGGGAGCTGTTCTGTCTCTGCTCCCCAGCGCGCAGCTGAATGAGACCGGCGCCGGAATATGACGTCATATTCCGGCGCCGGTCTCATTCAGCAGCGCGCGAGGGCGGGAGAGCCAGCGCAGCTCCCCCAGCGGCCGCCAGGACAAGTCCGCCAGCGGCCACCAGCAGACCTCCCCAGCGGCCGCCAGGACATGTCCCCCAGATGTCCCCAGAAGAACTCCCCAGCGGTAAAAGTCCCCCAGCGGCCCCCAGAAGACCTCCCCAGCGGCCCCCAGAAGACCTCCCCCTGGCAGGTATAAGTAATCATGTGTCTGTCTGTCTGTGTTATGGTGTCTGTCTGTCTGTATGGTGTGTGTGTGTCTGTCTGTCTGTGTCATGGTGTCTGTCTGTCTGTATGGTGTGTGTGTCTGTCTGTCTGTGTTATGGTGTCTGTCTGTCTGTATGGTGTGTGTGTGTCTGTCTGTCTGTGTCATGGTGTCTGTCTGTATGGTGTGTGTGTGTCTGTGTCATGGTGTCTGTCTGTATGGTGTGTGTGTGTGTGTGTCTGTCTCTCCATCATGGGGTGTGTGTGTGTCTGCCTGTCATTCATGGGGTGTGTGTGTGTGTCTGTCCGTCATGGGGTGTGTGTGTCTGTCTGTCCGTCATGGGGTGTGTGTGTGTCTGTCCGTCATGGGGTGTGTGTGTGTCTGTCTGTCCGTCATGGGGTGTGTGTGTGTCTGTCTGTCATTCATGGTGTGTGTGTGTGTCTGTCCGTCATGGTGTGTGTGTGTCTATCTGTCCGTCATGGTGTGTGTCTGTCTGTGTCATGGTCTGTCATGGTGTGTCTGTCATGGGGTGTGTATCTGTCATGGTATATGTGTGTTTCTGTGTCTGTCATGGTGTAAATGTGTGTTTAAAAATAGTGTTTTTGCTCACCTTTTTTTCCCCACGCAGCGTGCTGGTCTCCCCTCGACTGGCCCTGCCTCTATAGCTGAGATCATCAAGCTTGATGATCTCAGCCAATCC